CCTGGGGGGGGGGGGTGGCTGGGAATGTGGCTTAGCAGTAGAGTGCTTGCCTAGCATGTATGAAGCCCTGGGTTTGATTCCTCAGCACCACATAAACAGAAAAAAGAAGTTACACTTTGGTTCAAGTGGCAGAGTGCTAGCCTTGAGCACAGAAAGGCTCAGGGACAGCACCCAGATCCCTGAGTTCAAGCCCCAAGACTGGGGGGGAAAAAACAACCTTCAGATGGACTCAGTTATCTCATGGGATGGAGGCATTTGGCTGCTTTGTCAAAGGCCATTTCCTCATTCAGGAAATAGAACACAACTGCCCTGGACATGAGACAATTAATTCTGAGGTTGAGGGAAAGCCCTCTACTCACAGTTCAGAAAGTTTCTGTACTCTTTAAGACTGAGTTCTTGACCTGGAATTAGCACTATTATCCTTCTCCTCACTGTGGAAAATACATTAAAGAAATGCAGCCCTTATAATATAATCCAAAATCCAAAAAAATGGGATCATTTTTGGTTATACAGTAAACACCAGGTAGTTAAAACAGTAGCTATATCACAATAAACTTGATGACTTATAATTTGATTACTGCTAGATTAATATTTCACTGTTCACTAAAAATATAACTTCAGGGCTGGAAAGTTGGATCAATGGTAGAGTGCTTGCCTTGCATGCATGAGGCCCTGGGTTCAATTCTGCAGCACCACATACGCAGAAAAAGCCAGAAGTGGCACTGTGGCTCAAGTGGTAGAGCACTAGCCTTGAGCTGAAGTGCTGAGGGACAGCACCCAGGCCCAGAGTTCAGCCCCCCACAACTGACAAAAGAAAAAGAAAAAGGAAAGAAAGAAAGAAAAGAAAAAAAAGAGAGAAAGAGAGGGAGAGAGAGAGAGAATATATATATATAACTTCAGCAAAGCCTAGCACTACTTTTTAGAAGGGCATTTAGATTGCAATTTTTCAAGTGCTAGGCATTCAACAAAGGGCCTCATCTATGCAAGGCATGTGATCTACTAGAGTAAGGGCTATATCCTCAGACCATATCTTTTCCAAACCAATTCATTTGGCTTTAGTTTTTGTTGATTTTTGGTGCTGGTACTGGAGCTTGAACTCAAGAGTTTGTGTGCTGCTCTTTTTTACCCAGGGCTAGAAGTATATCACTTGAGCCACAACTCTACTTCTGGCTTTTTGGTAATTAATTGGAGCTAAGAGTCTCATTTCCTGCCTCAGCTGGATTTGAACACTGATCATCTGATTGCAGCCTCCTACGTATCTAGGATTCACCAGTACTCAGCTTAACATCTCAGTATTTCCTAACTCTAAATCAGTATATTTTTCCTTATCACCCAATTCCTTGACTGACGCTTACTTCTCATGGTATTGAGGCCTCTTCAAGACCTTTTCCAATCCTTTGCTTGGGGACTATGGAATTTATACTAGCAAATGTAGATTCTCCCTTTGTGATTTAGCTTAAGATGCAACCTTGGCTATCAAACAGTCAAAACCAAACCTCACTACAGAAGTTTTAGCAAAGAACCTAAGACTGAGAGAAAATGGAGATTTGTTGCCTGAGAGATTCTTACCTAGTTCAAAATGAAAAGGAATGGGAGAGAAATTTCTAGAAACATTAACCAGGTTTCAGGCTTTTGTTCTAAAAAGGCCTGGAGTGAACTTGACGGTCACTGGAGAAATATTCCAAGTTCAACCCCTAATACCACACACAAGAAAGGAGGATACTACCTGGGTTTTCAGCTCTTAAGACATCAACACTGTAATCCTTGAAAGACTATAATGGCAAAACTAAGTAAAAGTAGTGCATCTTTTTCAGCCAGTGGCCCAACCAGATTCTCAGAGTATAGATCTATCAGAAAAGTATGTGTGCTTTTGGCTTCTGGGCCCTTCTGTTGAACTGGAAGATGGGCCCTGTCAATCCAACTTTCAAAGGCTTCTACTTTCAGAAGGCAGAAAAGCCAGATAACCAGGCTGTGGGGCCTGTTTCTAAACTTTTCTGGTCAGATGCCCCTAAAGCTCTTCTCAACCCACTCTTTCAGAATGCAGGTGACAGCGTTTACATGAGCTCACCTTCCTATTGCTTTATTCTACATACAAAGTTGGAGAGGATTTATTAGGTATGTTACTAACTAGTACTATCACTAGAGAGGCTAAGAGGAAAGCAAATCCTACAAAACTGAATCATGGGAAGGATAAAAAAAAATAGACACATATAGCACATTTTAGGAATAGGTCGATATTCCTGGGCTTTCCAGCTTGAACAAGCTTTGTGTTACTTTGTTACTCTTCCTCCTTACCTTTAACCCTTTTTCACTTCACAGAGAAAACAAAAGTAATCTATAAGGTTGCCACAACTGAAGAAGCAATTCCAGAAGTTCTGGGTAATGGCAGTCTCAAAGGGGAGTCTTCTCCCAGCACAGCTTAGCCCACACCACCATGGCATGGATTGTAGCCTAATGGCACATAGGAAACGAGTGTGATAGAGCAGCAAAAAAGAAACACCAAGCTTGCCTGAGTCTTTTGTACAGCACTTCCAAGAAACCTCTCTACAGAATCATCAACCCTTGATGAAGCACAGAAGGCCATCTACCAGGAAGCCCCACCCATCTCCAACTCAGAATGTGTACGAGTTTAAGAAATAAAAGGACTATTCAGTGATTATGAACTCTACCAACACAGAAATAAATGTCTTGTGCCTCTGGATCTCAGCAACAGTGCCTGATAAGTATCTAAAAGTCATGTTTTTAAAAGTCATGCTGTATTCAGAGTTAATCAGTAAGTGGATGGTCCAAGATCAATCAAATATCCAAACCTCACTTCAAATTTTGTCACCCAAAAGGCAATTAGTACACTACAGAAACTCAACTTAAAAAAACTGTTCAGGATGTGCATCAGTGGCTCATGTCTGTAATCCTACTCAGACGGCTGAGATCTGAGGATAGCCATTCAAAACCAGCTTGGGTAGTAAAGTCCTTGAGACTCTTACCTCCAATAAACCACCAAGTAAAAAGCCAGAAGTGAAACTGTGGCTCAAGAGGTAGCGTGCTAGCCTTGAGCAAAACAAGCTCAGGAACAGAACCTAGGCCCTGAGTTCAAATGCTCTTCCCTTTTACACCATTCAGATTAAAATCCCTGGTAAATCAAATATGCAAAAGTAGATTTGTAAAATGTAAAAACAATTGACAAATTCAAAATAGGTAATGCCTTAATAAAATGCAGATACTTGAATATCAGAACAATTACCATGACTAAATAAGAAATAGCAGTTCACTTAACTATTCTAGCCTTTTTTTTTTTTTTTTGTCACGGGGCTTGAACTCTGGGCCTGGGCGCTGTCCTTCAGCTCTTCAGCTCAAGGCTAGCGCTCTACCACTTGAGCCACAGCGCCACTTCCGGTTTTCTGGTGGGTTATTGGAGATAGGAGTCTCACGGACTTTCCTGCCCGGGCTGGCTTTGAACCACGATCAGATCTCAGCCTCCTGAGTAACAAGGATTACAGGTGTGAGCCACCAGCGCCCAGCACATACATTACTTTTCAGTGCTATCAAGCATCCTAAAAACTCTAAATGATTGCCAAAAAATACTTGATTCAAGTGGAAATACTCAATTTTTTTCCTCATAAAACCTGTACATTTTGCACATTACTCACATGGAAATTAATACTTTCATATACTTATGAATCTTCTATATCATTTATGATCAGCTACAATTGAAACCACAAGTTTAGAGAACCAGTTTTGGCAAATGTACAAATTGACTGGCTTGGTACTCTTCTCCCAAGAATCACCCATTTAGGGGATGAGGTTAATATCTGGGACTTGCACTGAAAGCAGCACTCCTCAGTCCTTTTCCTCAGGAAAACGTCTTCCATTTTGCCCAGGGACTGTCTCAAACTGCAGTCCTACCTCTGCCTCCCACAAAACTGGCAGTACAGCAATGTCCCACCATGCCCAGCTTGTATTTGAGATGTCTTCTAACATTTTAACATGTATGGCTGAGATTACTGGGCTGGGACCACTATACCAAGTGTTTTTAAACATCTCCCTTTTTATTGTTGATTGTGGGGATCGAACGCTGGGCCTTGGCGCTGTCCCTGCACTCTTCAACTCAAGGGAAGCTCTACTGCTTGAGCCACAGTGCCACTTCCGGTTTTCTAGTGGCTTATTGGAGATGAGTCTCATGGACTTTCTATCCAGGCTGAGTCTGAACCGTGATCCTCAGATCACAGCCTCCTGAGTAGTCACCAGCACCCTGCCAAGATCTCCTTATAAATTTATACATTGTATTTGTGCAGTTCACACTGTTTTCTCTAGCATCCAGAGGTATCTGCTCAAAAACCTGGTTACCCAGAACAAAATTATGTAAAAACTAGTCTGAGGAAAGTTATGAAGTCAAAATTATGTCTAAACATATCCGTAAAGAACCCAATGCTAGTGGCCAGGCCTATACACAAACACCACATATCAATCAGTAACTGGGTATAGGAATGCACTTGTACCAGCCCTCTCTGGGCCTGGGTTCCAGGCCCTCATCTCAACAGAAAAAGCTGAGCATGTTGACACAGGCCTGTTAGCCAGGAGAGTAAACTACGATCCAGGTAATCCCAGTCAAAAATTGAGACTCTAGGGGCTGGGAAGGTGGCTCAGTGGTAGAGGCTTGCCTTGCATGCCTGAGGCCCTGGGTTCGATTCCTCAGCACCACATAAGCAGAAGAAAAAAAAAAGCCGGAAGTGGCGCTGTGGCTCAAGTGATAGAGCGCTAGCCTTGAGCTGAAGAGCTAAGGGACAGCGCCCAGGCCCAGAGTTCAGGCCCCATGACCGGACCACCACCCTCCCAAAAAAAAGAGAGACCCTATCTCAAAAATGACCACAATACACGGGGTGTTGTGGTTCAGTGAGTATAGAACATGTAAAGGGCCAAGTTCTAACCCCAGTACCACCAAACAGAAAAAGATGAAAGGAACATAAAACAAAGGCTACACATACCATTCCATAAGACCGTTTACATTTCTTAGCCTTATATCTAGTCCTCATGTCCTTTATCAGGTTTATTCAGGATAACCATCCAGAAGGGTTGTTTTTGAATTACTTTTACCTCTGGCATTTTCCAAAGAGAATGTTATATTCCCTTCCCAACACTTGTAAACATTAAAGTAGTAAACCTTATTAGTTCAGAGGATCAAAGAAATGAACTCAGCTAAAGCACTGGTGGCTCATGCATGTGAGCCTACTCAAGAGGCTAAGAGATTTTTTTTTTGGGGGGGGGGGAAAGTATTGGTCATGGGGCTTGAACTTTGAGCCCTGGGCACTGTCCTTCAGATCTTCAGCTCAAGGTTAGCTAGTGCGCTACCACTTGATTCACAGCACTTCTGGTTTTCTGGTGGTCAATTGGAAATAAGTCTCAGACTTTCCTACCTAGGCTGGCTCTGAACCACGATCCTCAGATCTCAGCCTCCTGAGCTTACAGGCATAAGCCACCTGCACCCAGCAAGGATCACTTTTTGAAGCCAGCCAGACTCACCTCCAATTAACCATTAAAAAGCCAGAAATGTAGAGTGGGCTGAAAAAGATTATGGGCTCAAATGAGCACCAGTATTGAGCAAAAAACCAGATTCTAAATTCAAGCCCCACAGCAGAAAGGGGGAGGTGTCTTATTAGATCCTGTGTTCAGTATTGAAGCCTAGGTAGGTACCTAAGACACTTAGGGAGAGAGATAGCATTCAAAACTAAAGTTCATTTTCAGTTTGATGGCTCAAAGTACAGGGCTATTACACTTTTGATTTAGATATAGGATCTTAAGCAATTTTCAGTTTATTTCCTCTTAACCGCATTCAAGTCTCAAAAAAGCAACATGTGTATTACTAAGCTTTTAATTGTAATTTCTAACTCCAGAACTATATTAAATCATTAAAGCAATAAGAAATGTTAATTTGCTTACTTCAACAGAACCAAGAACAAGAGTTGTCAGTTGCCAACAGCTTACTGACTGCTGGATTGGAAATACCAAAAGTACTATTTAAAAGATCAGGATGGGCTGGAAAGGTGGTTCAGTGGTAGAGCGCTTGCCTTGCATGCCTGAGGCCCTGGGTTCGATTCCTCAGCACCACATAAGCAAAAAGAAAAAAAAGCCGAGAGTGGAGCTGTGGCTCAAGTGTTAGAGTGCTAGCCTTGAGCTGAAGAGCTGAGGGACAGCGCCCAGGCCCAGAGTTCAGGCCCACGACCGACAAAAATAAATAAATAAATAAATATCAGGATTTTATGTGATAGATGTAGAAAAGAATGGTAAAATAGTATATAGGACATTTTCACAGAGACACAAGTATTTTTATAATATTTTATTATCAATAACAAACAGCTGCTTTAATGTTTTTGTCCTGCAGCTGTTAATAGGTAGGTGGAAGGACCCTTGACCAAACAAGGAAAACTCAAGCCTTTATATACAAGCAAATTTAGAGCTCTTTTAAGTGTCCAAAGCCAACAATTAGTTTAATTGAGGTATTAAACTAATTCTTAATCAACATATTTGAACAAACAGGAACTAAAATATTCAAATTTTTTCTAGTACAAAAAAATTAATGTTGCTTTAGTTATAAAAGAGCTCTGTCAATATACACAAACTATATACTTCAGACATTCACAAAAATGTGAGCAGAAGGCTTATCAAAAGACATTTAATACAATTAGCTTTCAACAACCCCTTGGTGGTCCACATCTACAAAGAAATCCAGCCCAACCCAACCCCATCCAAATCCCACCCCCACTGAAAAGCACATACTTACCAGAATTTTTAGCAAGTATGGTTTGGGAATTTTTTTTAAAAAGGCCCCCAGGGCAAGTTATTTACAGTTTAATTGCCACTGTCAACTGATCTGGACCTCGACCGGGACCGGGACCGGGATCGGGACCTCTGACGATCCACAGAAGCTGGAGACTTAGATCTACTTGAAGAACCACGTTTCTGGCTCTTCTCAGGCACAGGAGACCTACTAACAGAACGAGACTTGCTCCGGCTCCGGCTCCTGCTTCTGGACCGGCTGTAAGACTTGCGACTACGGGAACGAGATCGGCTCCGAGACCTAGAGGAACTCCTGGTCCGAGATCGAGACCTGCTTCTTGACCTACTATGAAAAGGGCAAAAAAAGGAGGAAGAAAAAATTAGCCTACATAACAGGTCCTACAAATCCACTAAATATAACTTTCCCTTAAAAATATTATAAGATACCTGTGCCTTTTGCTGCCTTCAATTAACTTAATTTTCCTTCCATTTATTTCCTTTCCAGAAAGTTTTTCAATAGCATTTTTTAAATCACCATAAGAGGCAAATTCAACCACCCTGAAATGGGGGAGGGAGAAGAGAAATGACAAAAACCTATTTACTTTAAAACACAAATACCCCCAGCATCATTACCACTGTACACATCAGTCTA